AAAAAAAAAAAGCAAGCACCGGCGGTTACCACTTTACAAGTCTCTCTCTCTCTCTCTCTCTCTATATATATATATATATATATATATATATATATATATATCAAATAGAGATTTCTTCCAGCTTTTCTTGCAGCCACAGAAAGATCCCGAGAAGTACCGTACGCTAAGGTGAGTGAGTGTCTCGGCTTGGTTCCTCCCCTCCGCATGTGATCCAAGGATGCCCTGTAAATATTTATCAGGTCAGAAGCTAGAAATATTTCTAAAGATAAAAAGAAAAATCTTATACCGAATTAAGAGACCAGCATTGAAGGTCAAAAGACACGATTTTTTATTATATTTTAATATGGGAAAAGCACATAATTAAGCAAAATCAGCCCAAAAAATAGAAATATTACCATTTTTCCCCAACACAAAACTTTCAACAGCGGAAGAAAAAAACTGAATGATTACCATAAATTAGCAATTCCTATAACTTTCACCCCAAGAACTGAGGTCTTAGAGAATCCATGAGATCCAAGAACAAAAGCCACAGAGATCCATAAATCCTTGGTTGGAAAGGACGGAACAAGATCTAAGTAGAGATGAAAGGGTTCGAAAGGGACTAACTGAGGACTTGCTCGGCAGAGAATCTTCTGGAGACGTCCTTGCAGAGCATCCGCCGCAGCAGGTCCTTGGCTGCCGGAGACACCGACCGGAAAGCCCTCGATGGGAACCTCAAGTTGGCCCTCACTACCGCGTCGAACGTCTCCGCCACCGTCTCCCCGTAGAAGGGCGGCACTCCCCCGGTCAGCATCATGTACATCACCACCCCCACGCTCCACACGTCCACCTTCTCCCCGTACTCCCGCCCGGCCACCACCTCCGGCGCCACGTAGCACGGCGTCCCCACCACCCCACTCATGGGTACCCGTTCCCCATATGCGCCGAGGAAGCACTCCGCCGACCCGAAGTCAGCCAGTTTGAGCCGCCCACGCGCGTCGAAGAGCACGTTGTCCGGCTTCACGTCCCGGTGCGCGACCCCCCTCAGGTGGCACGCCGCGACGGCCTCCGTAAGCTCCGAGACCACTGCCGCCACCTCGTGCTCCGGAAACGGAGCCCCTTCGCAGGCGGCAATCCGGTCGCAGAGGTCGGGGCCCTCGAGGAGCTCCACCACCAGGTGCACCCACTCGTCGTCCTCGTAAGCGGCGTAGATCTGCACCGCGTGGGGGTTACCGGCGGCGGCGAGGTGGTGGACCTTCGCCTCCCGCTCTACGCACTCGCGGTCGGTGGCGTCCGCGAGGAGCCTTTTCTCGACAGACTTCAGGGCGAACTCCTCTCCCGTCGCCGCCGATCTGCACCGCCGGACCACGCCGAACCGTCCACGCCCGATCTCCGCGCCGATCTCGTAGTCCCTCACCAGTGCCTCGCTCATAGCGCTTCGATTGGATCTCAACGGTCAACAATTACTCTCCTACCGCCTTCTATCCCTCCCTCTCCTTGCCGGTACAATTCCTCGGCTTTCCCCTATTTATAAACTGCATGGGATCTCATTTGGCACCGGGAATATTCCTTTGCACATTTGACACCGCGGGCGAACCGATCAAGCGGATCTCCCAATCAGACGGATATGTCGTCTCCAGAACTTAACCGCCCTTGATGTTTACCAAGTTCTACTATCCGCTAATCGCCCCTACTTCACAGTTACAATTACGAAATGAGCCAAAGGAGCTCCAATATGTTAATACAGAAAGAAGAAGCGTCACGATGAGTGGTCTGGTGAAGCATATAAAACAAAAGATTAATTAAAAGAAATAATGTTTGGTTGGTTTTAACTGCTAACGAAGCCTTCCAAAGTTATAAGACATGCTGTCTAATATGTTGGACTAGTGCCTGTCAGCTTTAAAATCTATTTCTAACTTGAGGAATCGTGTCCGATTCGATCTTGCTCGATGCTTCGGCACAGCGAGTGCGGCGCTGGAGACGTGGGATGTGGCCCACCGCTTGAATTTGGGTGACTGCCACAGTTGAATTTATTAATCCTGTGGGAATCCATCTCAACAGACCAGTGCCGTCGGATGGGGTGGTGCACGACGATTAACGGCAACGGACGGTGGGATGCCTGTTGGGTTGGAGATCGAAAGCACAACGAGAGGCCATAATTTCTAACGGCTTTTCGGGGCAGTTATCGGCCGTTCCGGACGGGGATCGTACGACACAGAAACGTCGTCAATCGGAAGATGACGCGTGGAAAGTCGAGTTGGACGGGTCGGTGGAAAGCCACGTGGTGGGGCCAGCAGTTATGTACTTATGCGTATCCCTTTTGTGTGTGTCGTTTTAAACGGGGAGGATATATGGAACCGGAGACGGAGGGAGCAAGCAAGGTATGGCATTGGTTCGCCGGTCGCCATAAGCTATCGTGGTGGAGGCGATAAGGCAGCAGTGTTTGTTTGTTCGCGCTGCTTGTGGTCCCCAAAGTGTTGGTGACAGGAAGACTAATAGGGAGATGCGCTTATCGTGGGGAATCAATAATACAATTAAATAAATAGGGATCACCGCAAGCTATGCATAAACAAAATCAGAACTTAATTTAGTTCATATATATAAACGAACTTAACATAAGCGGCCTCTATGTGATCACAAATTGGGAAAGAAGTTGCTTGGGATGATAACAAGTAGGTCGAGCTTTCATTGGGATGCCATGTAGTGTCCTGCTAGGAGTCGAAGATACTATGGCACTGTCCCTGCTACCTATGGTTGGAGATGAATGGATAAGTTGAGGCCACCAATCTGCGGCTTTTGGCACAAGCGTTGAGCCATGGATCAGATCAGCAAGGGTCTCTCTCTCTCTCTCTCTCTCTCTCTCTCTCTCT